CTAACACGAAAACGTAGACGCAGAGACATTAGCCGAAAAAACGACTGATCCGGTTCGGTTTCGATTCAACTGAAACTTGTAACAGTCAAGTAGTCATCGATTGGATATAATAGGATATAATTTCAGTTAATCCCGAATTAGTCGTTCTATATCGTGGCGAGATACATTGATCGTATCACACAGAACATTTAGACAGTTACAATGGCAGTGTCATTAGCTTTGATAAGTGCATCTATGTATCTAGTTACTTACCAACAATGATGGCCAATACGATTATTCCGATCACGCCCATGATGATCATCATCTGGAAGCATAAAGGCAAGAAAAAAAAAAAAAAACAAGGAATGAAGGTTTAAATCGGACGAACGTTTTCAATTTTTCTTAATCGAAGGATATTCGTTACCTTCAGATTTTGTAACCAGAACTTCCTCTTCAGTTTTCCTGCTTGTTGTTCAAATTGCGACGCTCCTTGCTGAAGCGCGTCTAAAACGACAAATTATTCGGGAAATATTCTATTTCTAATACTTCGACAACGTTTTTTTTTTTTGAAAAACGCGTAAAACAAAAGATACGATAACGAAGCAAAGATTTATTCGTACAAACGTTCGAATCTTAAATTTTTTTTCAAACAATTGTTTCTTTAACGATCTCTCGACTTGTTTAATCGCAAAAGTTGCCAAGTGAAAAAGTTGTGTTAATGATCAAACTGCGTGCAGGGGAAAAAGATCGACGATGGTCAGCCTCGTAACGTGGCATCGATTCGAGAACGTCACGAGTAATCGATATCAGCGTGTAGAGAGACGCGCAGGGTCGAACTGCTTCAATACCCCGCGAGAATGAATGAAAAGAATATACTTCGAGAAACGAGGGACAACTGTTCCTTCGACTTAATCATCCATGCGCTTTGTGCACGTTTTAATTCCATTTTTTAATCATATGTACGTATGCATTTCTTTTTAAAAAGGAAAAAAATCTTTTATCTTTTATGCGCAACAAACAAAGAAAGAGTATCACGTGTCTTCGTTTTTCAACTGCTCGTCAATTTAACCTTTTCAATTTTATACAAATACATATCCCCTTTCCCCCTTCGCGTTTTACATAATATCTGTCTCATATCTTAACCGCTTATTGTCGATAGGAATTAAAAAAACGTAGTCGAGGAAAGTTTTCGAATTAATATTTCACAAGCTTGAGGGAAAAATAATCGTAAATAACGAACGGAGAATAACATATGGATCCTACCTGCTCGATCATCGAGCTCGGACAGCTTTTGATCACGCTCCAACACCTTTTCAACGTTCGTTTTCATAATGTCGACGACCTCGTCCACCTGCGCCTGCGTCGCCTGCAGCCGTTTCTGCGAGGCGATCTGCTGAGGCGTTCTCGGACCTCCGACGATCCCGTCGGAACCTGCGCCTGCACCCGCAGCAGCATCCGGTGCCAGACCGCCTTCGGTGGCCCTGTAAATCCATTATTAATTTCTCATTCGAATTGTCCAAACAAATTTCCATCCATCCAACAAATCTGACTTCGCCCCCCCCTCCCCGCATTTCGTTTCGATTAATAAAATTCTCGAGGGAGAGGGAAGGAAATCTATTTAAAATATCTCCTCGACGGGGAAATTTCAAATTAAAAGTCTCATCTTCGCTGATAAATCTCCCCTCCCCTCTCGCCGAGAAAGGAAATCGAGCGGCAAATGGAGGAAGTGGTGCACGTGTTGGAAGATTAAGACTGGAAATATGAAAGTGCGTCTGGATCGGTGATAAGCGATTCATTGAAAATAATAAGCCGGTGTCTTTTTCTTTTCTTTTCTTCTTCGTTTCTGGTTAGTTGAACGTTAGTCAGTTAGGATATTTTGTATTTATTAAACTTAGAAGACGAATCGAGGGACGAAAGCGTTAATAATAAAATATCGTAATGAACGCGCCTTGTCTGATTGTCTCGTTGGATTCAAATTCCCTCCAAATAATTTTTAGTTTTGCTTTGACGGGGGGAAAAAAATTTTTCAGAGATTAAACAGACTTTAAACGAAGCGATACAAATAATTATGTTTCAGGTTCATAAATATTACAACTCGATCCTTTATTTTGCAATGGGTGATATCTCCGACCGAGGTAAAAGGGCAAAGTTGGTGATATATTTCAGAAAGCTGGACACTCGGTTAGATTGTCGTATTGTCGTATCGTGAAGAAATGATTAAATTATTCTCACGGAAAGAACAATGTTTGAACAACTTTGCTTCGATCTTCGATGAAAAATTGGCGTCGTATTTTCTTCTTTTTCCAAGATAAAAATAAATAACCAAAATATATTCCTTTCGAAGAACTATTATTCTTTCGTCTCCCTCGAGATATTAAAAAAGGATAATGACCAGGTAAATAAAAAAGTTTACATGAATTTGAGGTCGGGCAAAGGTCTATCTCGTACGTCTGACCTTTCGACCAGGTTAAGACCTTTCAAGGAACAACGACGAGGATGTTAGTTTAATTAACACGACAGATTCGCGTTGGTGTTTTCAACACGAACCGTGGGCAACTTTATCGCGTTCCGTTGAATTATCGACGCTGCCACCTCCTCGATCTTGATTTATTATTCCTCCGAGGATCTCCTTTAATGATCTATTTCCACAAGACACCGTCACAAACACCCGATATATTTTATTCTATATCGGTCTGACTAATTAAAGAGATCACCTACGCAAATAACTCCGCCTCTGAATCGCCGATATCCCATACACGTGCGATGAGAAATACGTTATTAACGTTATTTCTCGAGTGTTTCCTTTTTCAATCGGAAATTTTACTCGTCCTCTTCATCGGTAATTAAAGAAGCCTCGATAAACTTTTCGAACTCGAATATTTTTCTTATTTATACGTTATTTCTCACCTCTCTCTCTCTCTCTCTCTATATATATATATATATATATATGCAATATAGGTGACTGATCGAAGCGTTTCGTTTCGCTTCGTGTTCGATCGGCGTATATTTCGATTCCGGGCGCGTGCTCGAGATGGTAAATCAGGGTTTACGGACAAGCACCGATAGCAGATTAAAAAGCGGTCGAAGAGGTTGCGGGTTTTATTTTTGGCAACGAACGATCGAACGAACGGGCGAGCGGTAACAGCCGTTCGATCGATTCGAATATCGCCGGCCAGTCGAATATCACCGTGTTCGAGAGTGGATGAATGTAATTCAAGATAAGCTTCGAGGGGAGAGCGAAATCCTCAATGAGATTCCGAATGGGAGAGAGATCGGGGATTATTTCTCCCTGAAAAATTTCCATATCGGTTTTGGAAAGAATTTCCGATCGAAGTGGGAGGCGTTCACCACGGTTTTAAAAGCTTTATGCGTTCAAACGGCTTATATAATCGGATTAATATATCGATCGGTGGGGAGGGAGCGGGGGGGGGGGAAGGAGGGTGTATCGTCATCGAATTATCTTCGAATTTGTTGCGAAATAATTGTTGTTGAATATCATTTCAATCGTGCGTTCCATTTCATCCTTTCGAATCGTCTTATTCAAAAAGGGATGTTTCACTGCTCGAACGAAACTGCTTTCGATCGTTCAAACTTTTGAACGGTGACGTGTACAATTTGTACGAATCGAAAACTTTCACCCTTGTTCGGAAGCGTTT